CCACCCAGGTGCATCTGAGTGTCACCCTTTGAAGACAGGTGGCGCTGGGAGGCATCTGTCTCCCCAAGGTGACCTTTTAATGGCCTCAGAGGCACCAGGTAGCCATGGGGACCCCTGGCCTCCCTGGCCTCTCCCCCTACCTCCTTGGGCTGCATCCTGTAGGCTCCCATTGAAGCGCAGAGCTTCCAGACCCACAGCCCGGCAAGGGCCAGGACTCAGTCTCCAAGGAATTGGGATCCTAGAGCCCTAGTCCTGCCTGCCTGCTGGGCTTTAAGCTAATGATTGACGCAGGAGCTGGTTGAAGCTCGGTGTGCTCTGGTCAAGCAGATTTAGAGGACGCGGCTTAGAATTGCAGCCTGATTCCCCATTCTCTCCTTATCTCGCCCAGCTGAACTGACCTTCCTACCTGCAAACACAGCTTCCTGCCGGCAGCACTCAGGCCGGCCTGCACAGGGTGCTCAGCGGGTAGGGCCTTCCGAGTGCACGGCCCCAGGGTCTGACCTTGCTCAGGTCTCTCCACCCACAGAGGCCTAAGGGGATCAGGAGGACCAGAGGTGACATCCCCAGGGTGGGGAGGGGGCTCTACGGGGTCTTAGGTGCTCAGGGAGGAAGAGCATGACTGTGGACACCAGCTCAGTGCTCCAACTGCTGTCCTTGGCCTGTCCCTGTGTTCCTTCAGCCCCTCCAGCAGCCTCTCAGGGTAGGTATGATTATTCCTGTATTTCGAGGGAGGAAACTGAGGCCCATAGAGGCCACGGGGCTGCTCAAGGTGCCCCACTTTGTGAGATGGCGGCAGAGTTAGTGTGGACATCTCTGCCAGCTCAGGCTGCCCAGAGAAGCACCAGACGGGGCTTCAGCCAACGCTGCTTCCTCCCAGTTCTGGGGGCTTCGAGTCCCAGATCAGCAGGCCAGCATGGCGGGGTCCTCCTCCCAGTTTACAGGAGGCTGCTTTCTCAGTGAGTCCTCACATAACAGACACACACACACATGTAGAGAGAGCCCTCTGCTGTTTCCCCTTCAGGGGGCACTGACCCCACCATGAGGGCCCCATCGCCATCCCCTCCTCTAGCCCTAATCACCTCCTGGAGACCCCATTTCTAAATAGTGCCACCCTGGGTGGGCTTTGGGGTGTGAGCTGGGGGACGAGGTGAGTCCACACCGCAGGCTGGAGCTGGTGCCTCCACAGTAGGCAGTCGGTGCATGGAACAGCAGCACCTCTGAGGGGGAGTGGCCAGAACTCACCAGTCCTGCTAGGACCACGCTGCAGCTGAAGGCACACAGGAGGGCTTCAGAGTCCGGCACGTGGAAGAGGTGTCAGGTCGGTTTGGGGCTTAGGGGCTGGGACAGGGTGGCGTGAGAGGGAAGTGAGTGACAGGGCTCACCAGACACCTCTTCATGACTGCTGGGCGGGGACAGGAGCTACTTCTCGCAGAGCTGTCAAGCTCACATTTGGAGCAGCCTGAGGGGTGTCTCAGGACTTTCTCAGGGTCCTCAGGGCCAAATCCCAGGTGGGCTGTTTGTGGGAGGGGTGGAGCGCAGGCAGGTGCTGGCTTTGGCCCCCTCCTCTGACGAGTGCCTGAAGGGTCCTTCGGGGCCCTCAGGGCTCTCCTGAGAGGACCCTGCCTAATTTCTGTCTCCTTGGGGCTCCAGCCTCAGCTCAGGGTGTGATGTGCAGGAACAGGGCTGCCAGCGCCTGGAGCTCCCACCCTGCCGAGTGGCGCCATCCCCTTGTGGCAGCCTGTGGGGAC